TTGACAGAAACCCATATTTATACCAAGTAGTTTTACATTAGATTGTCTATCAAATATAGAAAACTCAGAGTAGAATTACTTTGGCTAGAAAAATGACTCCAATTAAGACGTTCACAGTTCTGCTAGCGCGAATTACAAGCTTTGTGGGGATTTGCTGATATTTCGTATGAACTGCAACGAACCCAGCATTGATCATGGCGCTCACCCATATCCTCAAGGAACACGGGGCATAGAAAAGAAGAAGAAGAAGAAGAGGAGGAGGAGAAGAAGAAGAAGAAGAAGAAGAAGAAGAAGAAGAAGAAGAAGAAGAGGAGGAGGAGAAGAAGAAGAAGAAAGAAAGAAACAAACAAACAAAGAAGGAAGCTGGAGTTGAAATTCTTATTAGTAGTAGTTATTACCATGTTTTGTTATACTGTTTAAGTTTGAATGCATCAGGTACACTAAGTAATCTTCAAGTTACAACAAGGACCTCAAACAGACAACACTTTCCTCAAAATATGCGCAGTGCTTAAAAGACTACTGGAGTCACCTTGACATTCCCTTCCCGAACTCCAAACCATGTTGCCATCTCAACTTTCAAATTAGATTAATTTATCAATCTGTCTGTTTGAGCTTTGTAAATTCATCAACTGTTCTGTAAAGCCCATGCTTGTGCCAACTAAGTTGTAGAAACAACGGAATCCGTTGTCATGTTATTATTAATAATAATATTATTATTACAGGCTTTGTTGATATTCCGTAAGAACTGCAAAACAGCGACCGTTGTGGAGAGCCATGATCGCCAATATCCTGAAAGGACACGGCACATAGAAGAAGAAGAAGAAGAAGAAGAAGAAGAAGAAGAAGAAGAAGAAGAAGAAGAAGAAATTCTTAGTAGTAGCTATTACCATGTTTTGTTATACTGTTTTTTGTATACACCAGGTGCATTACATTATTTGTCAAGTCACAACAAAGACCTCAGACAGAGAACACTTTGGATAATTCTATCTTGGTATGGTATCCTCAGCTGGTCAAGGAAGTCACACAGTTTTAATGGGATTGATCCCATTGCGCGTGTTACCACTGGAATCACCTTTACATTTCCTTCTTCTGTTTGAAACCATCTTAACATTTCACTTTTTTAAAATTAGAGTAGTGTGTCATTTTCTTAATGATGTTGTTTGCAATATTTTTGTAATCTGATATGGCAACACTAATAATATCGTATTTCTTGGCGCCTTTATCTAACTCAATAATATCCGGACGGGCGATGTGGTATCACTCTGTTTGAACATCATAGTCTGAGACTATTGTGGACTTCCCAATTATTTTACGAAGCACATTCTCGTACCATTTTTTTTACTTTGGTATCCATTATTTCAATACAATGAATAATAATATTAATTAATTAATTAATTAATAATAATAATAATGGATCAGTATCTACACTGAGCCAATATCTGAACTGGATAATATATATATATATATATATATATATATGTAAGCAAATATATGGACATAGATTCGACAGTATCAAGAAAAATATACTGAAAAAAACAAACAAAAATCCTAATATGCGATTATGCTGTTTTAATGTTTAATGTCAACGTCGGACGTTTCGGTCTAATAGACTATCTTCAGGACATATTCATAAAACATAATTAACATAGACCATATACAATTCAACATGAAAAAGACGATGGACATAAAAGCAATATCAATCCAAACAGATAACTGAAATCTTTTATAAGATCAGCGTTCGTGTTTAAATATGATCACGTCGTCGTCACGTGGGCGATGTTGTGAAAATGTATTCCTAAAATTTGAGTATTTTGAATGAAAAACGAAAAGAATTTTATTTTGATCTAAAACTTATATGTACGTTTGTCGAACATGCTTTAAAAAATCGCTACACAATTATAAAAGTGGTCACAGAGGTCAACAACGTGCGATAACAATAAAATTCATGCTCGAACGCATTCTTCAGGCCATATGTGTTATGTGTTGGCTCGACTGTTTATATATGCTTGTAAATGGTTCATTATGGGTAGCAACGTCTATTGGATAGGCGGAAAAGGTTATATTTCAAATTATTCTAGAGGCTATTCAGTAGAAATAATTGTGGATCCGCATTCCGTGACTTCTAGTTATTGTATTGTTTTTTTTGTCTTTTTTTTGTAAACTTTTACTCATTATTTATTATTGATTACTTAATTTATTGATTATTTATATTTATATACACCTTGGTGCAAATTAATTGAAACAGCTGCGTTAGTTTCCTTTCTTTCACTATACGGTCCGTTTTACACCCACTGGAATGACAGAGTGTGATCAATTTCTATTTTTTCCTCAGATTTTGTCATTTGCAGTGGTGCGCAGAAATATGAAACTATTTTAGGGGTGTATGATGAAATTTGTTTGACCTTTAAAAATATTTTGTCATCCGTGATTGCATCAGATTTTTATCACACCCAGACACTAATGTCTCCACTGTCGATTAGTTGTCCTTCGATCATTGTCTAAAATAAGCGTTATACCAAGGAAGCGTGCGAAAATTATAACACTTCACGAACTAACTGGCAAGCCTTACCAGTGAGCAAATCAAAGTATTATACATTAGACGGAGAGTCTCCTGATTTAAATCCAATCGAGGATATGTGGTCAATCCGCAAGGAACAATTCATGGAATGAATATACGAAGTACTAACATGTGTTTCATTGGAAAAATACAAAAAAGTAAATAATAACGGAATTATCTACTTTGTTTCAATTAATTTGCAAAAGGATGTATATTTATATTTATTTATTTATATTGATTATGTGCTGATTCTTTAGCTTCTTCTTCTTCTTCTTCTTCTTCTTCTTATTATTATTATTATTATTATTATCATTATTTATTCCTTTGTTTTTTCGGGGGTTGGTTATATTATTAGTTTAGTATGATATAATTACGTGTAAAATATAGTATACATTTAAAATATATTTTTCATATATATATATATATATATATATATATATATATATATATATGTATGTATGTATGTATAAGTGCGCAGGTATGCAGAAAATAGAAAAGAACACGTTGGGTGCATAATCCGGAGTTCCTTCGTATTTTCGTTTTTTCATTTTTAAGAAGACACTGCTCCATACAGAAGTAGAGCTTTATTATAATAATATTTTTTTGTTTAAAAATATGATTCCTTGGCTCGCTACATAAGAGTTCTCATGTTTCAAAAACGAGAGCCGAAATCATCCAAATAATTATTAAAATTAAGTTGAATTCAGGGGTTTTGTCTCGTTTCATCTTCAAGCGAAATTTTAGGAATATTTCGCTTGAAGATGAAATCATATTTTTAAACAAATATATATATATATATATATATATATTAATGATAAAATATAATTTAAAGGTATACTACATTTATGTCTAAAAGTGCTCAAAACCAGGGATATATATATATATATATATATATATATATATATATATATATATATATACTCCACCCAGAACGTGCACTAGTAACAATAGAGCTGCTGTACACTTTTACACCGATTAAAATATAAAATTCAAGTTTATTTTCAAAAGATTTCGCACATCGAGGAATCAGAGATCGGGTTTTTGCTAACAATACGGTTTTCACTGGAAAATACACCATCTACAAAAACATCTGTCGATGAGTAATTTGCTCTGTTTGTTCCTCGGACCGTTCATAAAGGGCACAGACGTGTCCGAAAATTCCAAAGATAAAAATTTTTCTTCGCTCATCATTTCTGTCATATGGATACATTAATATTTAATAAACGTTTATCGCACTGATTATATTGGTTACCTGCTTTTTGCCCTTTTTAATAAAAAACGTATCTAATTCACACACACACACACACATATATATATATATATATATATATATATATATATATATATATATATATATATATATATATATATAATGGTCAGAGTTGAATCAGACCAGGAAACAGTGGTATTAAAACGTGATCAATAAAATAAAAATAACATGTAGAGCTTTTAATTTTTTAATTTTAAAATTTATCTGTTTCTGTCAAATGAAGATAGCTCTGTGGTAGAAACTCTGACTGATCGTTTGGATTTCGATCCGGGCTTGAAGTATTCGGATGTCTAGTCGCACTGAGGAGCTGTGATACAGCGAAACAGCACTGTCTGCGAATGACATATATATATATATATATATATATATATATATATATATATATATATATATATATATATAATTAAGTTTTGAAAAACTTGGTAATCCGTATGGGTAGTGCCAAGAAGGATGAAATCCTGAGAGCTCAATGTAAATCCAGAGCTAATATTTTAAAGAAAAACAGACCACTTTAAGGTTCCATTATAATAATTTATTTCACCAGAGTCCTTTTAAAGGACGCCGAATCATCAGATGATGAAGGGCTCTGGTGAAATAAATTATTATAATGGAATCTTAAAGTGTTTGTTTTTATTTAATATATATATATATATATATATATATATATATATATATATATATATATATATATTAGAATCCCACCATAGCTGATATGCCGGGGTGGGACTTCTTGAATTGGGAGGTGATACCAACCTGCGGCACATTTGAAACGGTCCTGGTTTTGCTACAATAGTCTCAATTTATCGTGACCAATTCTTTCGGTTTACTGACCATGTCTAAACTGTTGATCACACCAGATATCGCACTCTCCCTCTAAAACACTTAGTACTGCTCAGCATTACCCACACTGACATAACTGTGCCTGAACAGAAGCCTGCACTACGGATTGTCTCGCCGATCTAGCAGAAGCTGTACTTGGAAAATTGCGGGTTATTATTATATATACTCACATTTGTCGCTCTGTATTAGTACGCAAACACACTCACACCACTAGACGTACATGGCTATCATTATGCATTGAAATATCGACTTCCCTGTCTCTTTGAAAGGTTGTGTCAACTGCCGATAGCTTGAGGCATAAACCATCACTAGTGACGGCGTAATGTCTGTCTTGCAGCCCTGAACCTGACAGCTTGTCAAAGAGCTATCAGTATAACTGTAATCAAGTGAAAGTCATAAGTATACGTTAACGGGGGCCAAGACCTCCGAAAGACTGCGTCATATTACAATTCCAAATCTGAATTTGGCGGCCATTTTTGGCAGGTCAAAGAGAAGGCGGGAAAAGTTTTGACAAGAACAACTTTATTAGGCGAACGACTGTTACAATTAAGTGTCGCAGTTATGGAAGGATCAAAAATTATATTCTCGATAATATCAATGGAGACAAAAAGCCAAGAAAAAGTATACGGAAATTTTTATACAATTTTGAAATAGTGAAATAAATAATAAGGAACAACATATATTATTCGACCAACTCACTCTATGGCAATAATAAATGAAAAGAATTTATCTAA